TGAGAATTTCCCAGGAGAGGTGTCCATTATTTCTCTGTTCCACTGCCCTAGGGAGTTTCCCTGCAGAGATTCTGCTCTGCTCTGGCAAAAAAAGATCTTCACCCAAATCTAAATCAAGAGATTTATATAGGGGAGAGGAATCCAGAATAGTGACTGCCTGTGTCAGTGTGAAAAGGGGCAGCTGCCAACTGAACAGACACAGGGCTTCTATGGGGCTTCATAGTGATGAAGATTACCAGTGAAAAGATTGAGGATAGGTATTGGTTGGATTTCAAACTCAAGCTCAGAGATTGGGAGTCTTCCATGTAGAGTGATTGGTTGGTTTTGTGCTTGCGGACTCGTTGGATTTTCTGCTTATGGATTGGATGATTTTGTCATCGCATGGTCAGAGGTAGAGTGTATTTCTTTTGTTCTGGTTCCAGTGCCAACTTGAAAGTTTTACACTGGCTCTGGTTTTAGTTTCCAGGTGTTTCTTTGGCTGACTTTTTACCCTACACAAAGTGCTTTATAAACTACTAAATTCATTTATTCCATGGTTTTACAGGGGCAAACATTGTAAAAATTGACATCATGATGCATGAATAGATTGCTGACACTGTGAAATTATTTTTTAAAGAATGATCACAATTGGGTAAATGAATTCAAGTGTTTTAGATAAGAAAGAATCTTGCCAAATACTTTATAATATTAAGCCCTCAGTACTTTTTTTGTTTGTTTTTTGTTTTCTTTTTTGAGACAAGGTTTCTCAGTGTAGCTTTACACCTTTCCTGGAACTCACTTGGAAGCCCAGGTTGGCCTCGATCTCACAGAGATCCGCCTGCCTCTGCCTCCCAAGTGCTGGGATTAAAGGAGTGCACCACCACTGCCTGTTACCCTCAGAACTTTTTGCAGGTACTCAAAGTCTATTGTAATATGCAAAGGCTTTAAGAGATTGACTGCACAGAAAAAAGGTTTATTCGTGTATAAAGAGCAAAATTGTATAACACTGACTATATCTGAATATGATTTTTTCTAATGATTTCAAACACTACTGATATCTATAAAGGCTTTATCACACAGAATACATTCATAGGATTTCTCTCGAGTAGGTGTTGTTTCATGCATTTGAAGAGTACTATGTTTGAAGAAAGTCCTCACAACATTGATTAAATTCATGGGATTTCTCTCTAGTATGTGATCTTCCATGCAATTGAAGATGACTGTGATGACGAAAAACTTTACCTCGTTAATTATTATCATAGGCTTTTGCTCCAGCATGTCTTCTTTTATGTATTGAAGAGTACTATGATGAGCATATAATTTACCACATTGACTACATTCACAGAGTTTATCTCCAGTATATATCCTTTTATGCATTTGAAGAGTTTGGTGATGTGCAAAGACTTTACCATATTGATTACATTCATAGGGTTTCTCTTCTGTATGTGGTCTTTTATGTACTTGAAAATGACCATGTTGTGAAAAGGCTTTACCACATTGATTACATTCATAGGGTTTCTCTCCAGTATGTGTTTTTTTATAACACCGAAGATGACCATATTGTACAAAGGCTTTATCACACTGATTACAATTATAGGGTTTCTCTCCAGTATGTGTTCTTTTATGCCTTTGACGATGACTAAATCATGCAAAGGCTTTACCACATTCCTCACATGCATAGGATTTCTCTCCTGTATTTGTTCTTTTATGACTTTGAAGATGAGCATATTGTGCAAAGGCTTTACCACACTGATTACATTCATAGGGGTTCTCTCCAGTATGACTTCTTTTATATATTTGAAGATGTTTGTGATGTACAAAGGGTTTACCACATTGATTATATTCATAGGGTTCATGTCCAGTATGTGTTCTTTCATGTATTTGAAGAGTTTGATGATATGCAAAGGCTTTACAACATTGATTAATTCATAGGATTTCTCTCCAGTATGGGCTCTTTTATGTATTTGAAGAGTACTGTGTTTGGCAAAGGCTTTAACACAATGATTACATTGAAAGCGTTTCTGTCCCATAGGTGCACTTTCATGCCTTTGAAGATGACTCTCATATACAATGGTTTTACAACATTTAGTATATACGAAAGGTTTCTTCTCTCCAGTTTGACTTATTTCATGCCTGCAAGCACATGTAATGTCTTTACCATAATCATTATACTGTTGACTCTTTATAGCTGTATGAATTAAATTTACAATTTGCTCTAATTTTAAAGAGGAATCAGTTCTTAAGATTTCATTATTGTTTTTACACCCATGTTTCATTTAAGCGGTCCTAGTATTCATAGGGTTTCTCTGTAGTGTGAGTTTGTTAATATATTAACAATGAAGATAGAAAATCAATTACTTGCATACTTGAATGAAATTCAACAAGTATACTTAATGTGAAGACTGCTACATATCTTCTAATTTTATAAGAATGAGGTATGTTATGTCTTCCATATTGCTATGCTCTTATGGCTTGTTTCCAGAAGGACAGATGATATAGCTAGTAAAGAAAGAATAACAGATAATGGATTTCCACATTGAATTCTGTTTGACTTTCTGTCCTCATGGACTTGTGGTATAGGGATTAAAGTTTCTCCTCAACAACATCCCTTGACTTTTGACTCTAACTGGTCCACTCACTAAACAGCACAGTCACAACTATATGAGATACACTAGCTTTACTATGGACTATTTGCTCAATGGAAAGCTTTGACAATATACTGATCACCTCTTAACAGTGCAACTTTTGTAATAGGAATGTTATGAAATAAAAAGACTGACAGTTCTACAGCATAGCTCTCATGGTGTTATGATTGTAATGGTGAAGACTTTTGAGAAATGGTTTCTTTGACATTTATCTTAAAAGAATGCCTTGCAAATGCAATTCACCAGCCAGAAATTGAGGTTTATGTTTCTGTGAAAATTTACTAATGATCAATGCACTTTAAGTGGTACTTATTTACACTGCTGCTTTTGGTTAAAATTTCTAGGACACAATATACTTTCTTCACAGGCATATTTTTATCAGCTTGCACAGGAAAATTACCTTACATGTCTTCTAGAATTTTGAAAATGTGCTTCAATATTATGATTTTCCCAACTGTATCCTAAAATAGAGTACCAGAAAATTTATATTATTGAAAACATTGTATAATTTATGTTACTATCTTCAGTGAATCTTAGAAACATGCCTGATTTATTCACCTCACTCTTCTTTCTTAATCAAATTACATCCAAAATATCCAAAACCAAGGAACAGTTGTCCCCTTATTTTAAAATGTGAAGAAAAAATACACTGGCTTACCTATAATAGTGAGGTTTCTGTAGGTCTCCATCATCACATCTTTGTAGAGATTCTTCTGAAAAGGTTCCAGCAAAGTTAACTCTTCCCAAGTGAAGTTGATATGCACATCATCATAGGTCAATGCATTCTAAAATATCCCACATATATGTACAGCAGAAAGCATGATACTGAGAACATTATAAATGCATACTTCTTTGACAGTATATTCATGCAATTCTGGTGCCCCTCATACATATTTCCTGACATACATATTATAATGTAATCACCAAGTCAATTTAGAAGGAAACTGAATAGGAGGGAAACCTCTATCATTTGTGTTCCCTTTGAAAAGGACACCACATTAGAAGAGAAATGCCTATTAACAAACATAGACACAAGGAAATTGATGAACAGTACAGAGTACACATGAGAGAAAGTGTATGAACAATAACTAACAAGCCAGGTGTATTGTCTTATGACTTTAATCCCAAAACTCAAAAGATAGGTGCCTGTGACTTGAATGAGAGAACAGTAAAGAAAATTTTGCCCTGCTGGGGATTACATTGCTCCTGGAAAGATACAAAGGAGATTCTATTAATTATTTAGGATATAAGAGAGAGCTACAAAAAATTAGAACCCAAAAGGTGCAAATTTGGAGAGATAGACTATAGACTCTTAATTAGTTTCAAAGATTATTTGGAGATATTTGTCATCTATGAACTATTGTTGGGGTAAAAAAATGATGAACTGAATAATTTGTTCAAAACCTTAGAAGATAACAAGGACTGAAATAGTCCAAGGGATTTATCACCTAAAGCTGAGAAGGAATTGGCCTTGGTAGAAAAGAAACTATATGAAGGGCACGTGGATCATGTTGATCTAAAGCTGGATTGCATTTCGGTTATTTTGCCTTCTAGGCCATTCTCCTACTGGAAGATTAATGCAGAAGGAAGATATTATATTGGAATGGATTTTTTAAGAAATAAACAAAATAAAAAATTAAAAACTTATGTGGAAAAAAAATCTCTGACTTGATTTTCAAAAAAAAAAAAATATTGAGACTTCCTCAATTAGCAGGAATAGACCAAGCAGAAATTGTCGTATCTTTAAATAAGGAGGACATTGAAAAATTAGGAACAGAAAGTGAACCTTGGCAAAGAGCTTGCAGTAATTTTTTGGGAGAAATTAACAGCAAATATCCCAAAAGCGATAAAATTGATCTTATGAAGAGAGCTGATTGTATCTTGCCTCCAATTGTACAGCAAAAACCCATATCTCGAGTTTGTACATTTTATACAGATGCCAACAAACAAAGAAAGGCAGGTTACAAATGAGAAAATTTAAGTAAAGTGGTTCAAAGTCCTTATAATTCAGTTCAAAAATCAGAATTGTATGCTATTCTATTCTTATTAATGGATTTTTCAGAACCTCTCAACATAGTAACTGACTCTCAGTATGCTGAAAGACTGGTATTACATATTGAGACTGCAGAATTTATCCCTGATGCTTCAGAATTAACTTCACTATTTATTCAATTACAACATACAATCAGGAAAAGGAGTCATCCTTTATATATAACTCAAATTCGACCCCATACTGGTCTGCCAGGCCCTCTAGCACAAGGCAATGAGGAGATTGATAAATTATTGATAGGAAATATGCTCAGAATTTCATAAAAAGCATCATGTCAATTGTAAAGGTTTAAAAAAGGATTTTTCCCTAACCTGGAAACAAGCCAAAGAAATAGTAAAGAAATGTCCTACTTGTTCCTTCTACAATCAAATGCCATTACCAGCAGGATTTTACCCAAAGGGTACTCAGAGGAATGAAATCTGGCAGATGGATGTGTTTCACTTTGCAGAATTTGGAAATTTGGGACAAATCATCTATCCCAGGAACAGAGTGAAAGGCGTATGGGTATATATTATCTAAAAAATTTTATGTCTTCCTAAATGTTTGTTTCTGCATTTCTCTAAAGATTTAACACTACTGGTCTTCTAATAGTCCCAGTTCAATTAAAATTTAAAGCTGACTTTGGAGTTGGAGAATGGCTCTCTCCTTCTTTAAA